GTCACCATCCCTGGAAGTATTTAAAAAACGGGTAGATGAGGCGCTTAGGGACATGGTTTAGTGGGCATGGTGTTGTTGGGTTGACGGTTGGACTCGATGATCTTAGAGGTCTCTTCCAACCTTAATGATTCTATGACTCTATGATCAAGCGAACTATTAGGTCAATGAGGAAAAAGCCTGCTGATGGCCTTTTAACTGCACTATTATCCGCTTTAGAATATTTCCCTCACTCTGGTGGCAGACAGCACTCCCTGGTCACCAGGGGCTTCAGGTGCACACAAGGTCTCACCTTTGTGCCACCCTCCAGCTGGATGTTGCAACAAGACTTTCGGAGCACTCCACCCACTCTGTATTTGGGCAGCTCAACTCCCAGACTCACAGCATCCAACATAACAGGTGTCGTTAACCCCCTCAAAAATAAACATTTTCCAGTTCCAGGCTGCGTAGGTTTGTTTTCAGTTGTCAGTGCTTTCCAAACATCAGATGGTGTCATATATAGAGTAATACCCTTCCATCCAAGCAGATATGCTTATTCTCCAGCCATGCTCTACCCTTGTACACTGAAGTCTAGGCTGATTTTCGCCTCTGATTGGATGAGACCACCAGCATGAAAACTGCAGATATTTACTTCATTCTCCCAAGTGGGTGGGACTTTATTCAGTTTCCATCCCACTTTTTTTTTTTTTTTTTTTTTAAATACTAAACCATGCACATTTGAAGTTACTTTCCATTCTAACCTGGAAGCAAATAAATCTTGGTGAAAGGTATAGCAACATGCAGGTAGCTTGTAAGTAACTTCTCTAGAACAAAACAGCCAAGACAGGCAGGAGACGTCGTCCTGTGATCACCCCATTAGAGCAAAACATTCATGTGCTCTCTGTGCTCTCTTGTCCAAGTAGACAACAAAACACCAGGCCTAGCCAAATGTCTTCCATTTCAAAAGTATTATGTTGTATTGTAACTGCCTGGAAATCTCAAGAGCCTCTCACTGCAATTATAAAAATATTTCTATAGGCATGATCAGTTCTTTGATTAACATGGATCACTTAATATGCGAGTTCACTGCGTGCCCACTTCATGGGCAGGCTTCATTTTTTAATGTCTGCCCTGTTAAACTATTTCCTACAGCTTCCCACCTTTTTCTACAGAAGGTATCAATTTCACCAGTACGCCCCCTCAGCCAATTTAGCTTTCAAAGATCCTTTGTCAAACATCTAGTACAATGCAAAGAAAAACATACCACTTCGTAGTATTGACTCATCAAGACTGACAGACAATAGCACATCATCTATATTTTGCCATTAAGCAGCTGAGAGGCTGAAAAAAGAAAGTCAGGTATTTTTTACCCACCAGTAAACACATTCTTTCAAGGAGACTTCTTTTTTTTTAATCAGCCAAAGGGCAGATGAGTGTAACTATGTATTTCACACTGCTAGTAAATTTGTCAGTGTTAGGAAGAGGAAAAGTACATTAGATAAGGTGATAACAGATATGTAAATAAATTTACATTGAACATACAATCTGAATAAACCCTTCTCTAGCATTTTTCTTTTTCTTTTCTTTCTTTTCCCCTTCAATGCCACATATTTTGAACAGCAATCCTGTAAAAACAACTTTGGATTGCCCTAACATATCATCTCCTGGTAATCTTTTCCTTTAAAACTCAGGAGAATAAAAGATGGTACTGCGACTGCTGAGACAACTGTGTCTACTTTTTACAGGCAAATCACAGTAAGATCATCTCTGGAAACTCCAGCGGTTTTTGCTCTCAAAGACTATAATGCCATTATACGTTTTATAAACTTATCAAGCTCAATCTTAAAAGTAGCTGGGTTTTTATGCTTACCCATCTTATATTATGGACTTTGTCAGAACCTGACTGCAGTGTCGGTTATGACCTATCATTTAATTTGTGTCAGTTTATATCAATTTGTTCTTGCACCAGCAATCTCTTTAAGCTGAAGTATTTCTTTTTTCTGGTGCTTAATCCTCCTCTGACTTCAGCTCAGAAAGACTGCATTTCCCCCTTCCATCATCATTTTGTGGACTAAACACACCATGATCATCTAGTTTTGCCTTACAGACTAGGTATCTTCGTATCCCCTTCCCGTCTTTATTGAACCTCTTCAGCATCAATTCATTTTCTCACAGGTACCGTATGCAAATATTGAGAGGCCTTATTCTTGCCTGGTCACACATTAGTTGTGTGCTGTGACACCCCCCTCATACA